TTATCAAATCATTCACTAACAGAGATTTAGATGTGAGAGATCTGATATTTAATAGTCCACATTTGATTGTCCTATTACTTTCTACTATAAGAGGAGTCATCTTAATTTTAATTAGGTTCTTATGAATAACTCCTCTGGAGTTGATTCTTGATTTATATAATTTAGGTGGGCGGGGGGCAGACACAGTCTCTATGGGGTACTGGGAGCGTTGGGTGGGTAGCAGCTGCAAGGAGACAGCAGAGAGGCGTGTAAGACTGCGACCCTGCATCCTGGACTCAACTCTGGGTTGTCATAATTTAGGTTGTAAAACAAACTCGTCCAGATTTCTAGATAAGAGAGCCGCACCACCCAAAGTGGGATGGATGCCGTCTCTGCTAATCAGAAAACAAAGCAAAACAAGTGCTTTAAGTGGTGCAAGCGTATGTTGTCACTCAAAAATTCAGATGAACCTAGAAAATAGTGAGCTTAATTCCTAAACAATCTGGAAGCAAGCACAACGCAGTGCAAATACAGAAAACAGGAAATGAATATGGTTTACCGCAGGAAACAGCAGTCCGTCAAAGGTTCCACCAAGAGCAGATCCATGTGGTCCAGAGTGGAACACTGTGGTGTTATAATCCCAGTCCTGCATCTGTCTCCACCTCATGTTTGTCGATGGCTCTGTTCCTTTTTTCTAGATGCTGCCGTTCCATACCCAGTTACCACTTAAGTCTTGATTGGACCTGTGGCTCTGTCATGCCCTCCCAGTTCTGACTGCCACACCCACCACACCTGTCTTTACTCACCTGATCAGCCTGTGTACAGACTGCATGCTGTTCTGTTCCTTTGTCCTCTTGCCAGATCATTTGAAGCACTTTGTAGGTTTCATGCTCTCTGTCAGCCTCAGTTTTCTAGCCCTCCTGGTTTCACAGTATTTTTTGTTATTTCATAGTGTTCCCTCGTGTTCTCCTTCATGTGTTTTGAACTTTGGCTGTTTTTTGGACTTTGCTTCTAGCCTCTTCCCCTGGATTTATTGCTTGGCCTGGACTGTGACAATCCTCTGACCCCTGTTTGGAGTCTTGTTCTGCTTCTGCTTGTCCCAGCCTGGACTCCTAGTTGTGTAAGTCTCTGTTTCCCAGCGTTAATAATTCATCGTTTAGTTCCACTCACTTGTCTGCTGTGTTTTGTGTTTGAGTCCTGGTGTGTTCTGTTTTTTCTGGCCAAAGTAGTTTTGCAGTACAGAGCTTGTTTACATCCAAGTACATTACTTAGTTGATTTGGGTTTGAACTTCAGAAGGTCAACATCGGATGAAGGAATAACTGGCTCTCTCCGTTTCTTAATCACTATTAGCAATGGATTTTTTACATAAAGACCCAAATAACACCACCTCAGAGTTAATCTACTCCTAAATTTCCCCCTAACACACATACACTGTGAGATGTGTGCCTGAAAATGCACCAAACTGTGTGATAAATTTGCATGTACAGTAGATTGATCTGTTGTGTTTCATTCAGCAGGCTCTGGTCAGACCTCCTTTTTTTGTTGCAAATGTGACACAGTTTTCTTATCACTGTTATGACTGTCAATCCTGATCTATTATTTTGTGAAATTATTGTCACCAATTATGCTATATGTGATGACAGAAAATGTTCAAAACAGCATGTAAGTGAGTAGGCAGTGACATGTGTATAATTAACTTATTGTTCTACATCTGTGGGAGGCACCAGTGGTCTCAGCGTTGCATAACTCCACAGCGTTCTATATTGGCCACAGATTAATAAATGGTGTGTACTGTTCAGACAGACTTTGACACAGGGCTGGTCTGTGGCATAGGCAACATAAATGGTCGACTAGGGTGCCAAATGCCTGGAGGAGCATGCACAGGAAATTGTTCTTACTTGTTTGTATGTCACTTTTTTGTTTTTATTAATGGTACTGTCATGGGTGCATCCGTGCATGGGTGCCATAAGGGCGGTAAAGTTACACGAGCTCAGGACTAACTGGGGCCTATGAAATGTATGTACAACCAGGCATCACACCTATAGCTGTTAAATTCTATTTTTGCTGTGTTTGATTTCGCTTTACTAATAAAATTTAGAAGACAGCTTATGCCATGATAATGGTCTGACTTTAATAAAGGCATAAATTACTAAGAGCGTCACACTTTCTGTAAAGTGTCTTTAGTATCTTAACCTCCATGCAATTAGTGTTAGATTGTTGTCCTTTGCTGTAGGCTAATTAGCAACTAAGTCAATGTTTTTGTCAAATAAGATTAAAACTATGACACTACCACACTGAATATGTCCTTATATTTTTTCATGGGGCCCAAAACAGTCCCCTGAGTACTGTTACCCTTCTACTCTGAGATGAAATAGTGGTGACAGATAACACCAGTAATAAATATGCTATGCCCCATGTATATTAATGTACATTTCTTTGCTTCATTATTATTTTGGATCCAGCTAAAATTGAATCTGCAAGCTTGTTTACAGTCTTCATAATTATCTGCTCGTGTTTGTTGCCTTGCTGGATCTATTGCAAGAAATGCTGGCAGATACCAAGCTCTTAGTGATTACTTTGGTAAGTACAGTGCTGTCATAACTGATACAACCAGTGGCCCTCCTCATCTCCATCATGGCAACTACAAAATGTATTGTAGTATTCAGTCAGCAGCAGCACTTTATCTGAAAATGTCAGTAATCAGTCAACCCATTCTATGATGTGCAAAAATCTATGGTTTCTATAAATTTGTTCTTGTTATCCCACATTGTAGTTGTACAATACACATTCACAGCTATACCATTATCTGTCTTTCAGTATTTTACCATCATTCTATGCACAGTAAATTATTTACCCATGTTGTGTCTATACATGTTAGTCTCATGATGACTTGTGCAGTTGTCACAATTTCACAAAGAAGCCGTGGCATCTTTACTGGCATGGATTTACTTGCGGTTAGATGAATTACCCTTGGGTTTTTGCCATCCATTGTTCATGAACTGTGAAAGGACCCAAGGCTATAGGTACATTTTGCTCTGAAAACCTATGGCTGAAGGCTTTGAGACCAGCTGTAACTCCTCCAGTGTGTTAGTATACACCTCGTCTGGCTAGATTCACATAGTTCTATAACATTTTACTTGTTTTTAGGGGTATATGAGTTTTCTGAAAGTTTGAAGTAAAGCTAAATTATTTTGTAATACAAGCAGATTGACAAGGATTGAGGATAGTTTGCTTTGACTTATGATTCTCGTGAGTACTTTGGCTCTTGAATTAAAAACAAAAACATAACCTGGTCTTGTCTCCCATTAGGATCTTTGGTCTTGACTATGTATCTAGTCCATTTACTTTTTGGTAGCCTAGTTTTTCCTGTTCGTTTCTCCAACTCTTCTCCTTTTGAGGGTAACACAAACTATCAGAATGTAAATCAAACTAAGCACAGGAGGATACCAGCCGCATTACTCTTCCCCAGGGAAGAGACAAAAATGTATAATATCTCTGTTTGATTTTTGTTTGAATTAAACTGTAACACTACTGCTCCTCCTTATATACATGTATACAGACATTAGAGTTAACGGTTTTCTTTTAGGGGCATGCTAATCATGCAGCACACATTATGTAAAGTATGTGCACATAATGACACAAACACAAGACTCCTTGTGACAACTTCAAAATGTTTGTTTAAATTCTCAACCTGGCAGTAATCAGCATCTTGGTAAATGTCAGGCCAAATGATAAAGACCATTAGTTGCTGCTGTTAGTCTACTTGCTAAAAATTAGTGGATACATTTTCCCTCAGATGATGTCAAGACAGCAGAATATGGGTGCCTGGCTATACATGATTTGTTTTGGTGAATGCTTTTGCTTCTGGGAGGTCACACACACACACACACACGCCCCCTGCTGTTTTCATTTCTTATGGAAACTTTACATTGACTTACATTCATTTCCTGTAGACTTATCCTAACCTTAACCATAACCACTACTTGCTTAACCCTAACACCTCACCTTAACCTTACCCCAATATTAAAGCATGTTGCCACCCTAAAATTCAGTGATTTCCTTGTGGGGACCAGACGCTGCACTCCCATTTGGGGCTCTGAGAGGCCGAGTCCCAACAGTGTGCATGTGTTAACAGGTTTCGATCCCCATAAATGTAAGTAATACAAAGGCACACAAACACACACTGTTTAAAAAAAGCTAAACACAATCATATTAGATATGAGAAGTGCATTTGTAGAAAAGCAGACCTCAGAGGTAGTAAGAGGACTCCGCAAGGTTTCAGTAGTTGACAGACTGTTGAAACTGCTGATGATTTCATCTTTTTCATTTTATTCCAAAAAGACTTTTTCCCTTTTCTGTGCCACTCATTCAATCTAGTGCTATACAGAGTAATTTGCTGACCATCATTTCTTTTGCCCTGTATTACCTCATCACCTCAGTCCTATTTGGTGCAAAATGGAATCGGAATTGAAAACGAGTTACTGAGTGACTTTTTTAGTGTCTTTGAAAAGAGAATTTTGAGGGCAAGCAGCCTACCCCTGTCTCTTTAACTAAATGTTATTGCAGAAAGACGGACAGAATGGTGAAACCGTGTACACTATCAAGTTTGAGGCTGTCCACGAGGCTAATCCATCTCACAACTACTGACATTAAGCTCACATTGTGAGACGTAATGCAATTTATCTGCCTCATCAGCTAATGCAGCACAAATCCATTTTCGCTTAAACAAGAAGGGCCACATACATTACCTTGATGACCATGCAGAGTCAAGGGGGAACAACTAATGAGACTAAATGTAATTACTGTCTGCCTCTGATTTGAAAACAAAATAAACCCGCCTGCACTCCCAGTTGGGGCTCTGAGTGCTAGCACAAGAATAAACCTTCTTCATGTCACCACTTGGAGCCACAATGTTGTCCTGTCACTGACTAGATCAGCGTTCGCACTCTTGATTAGAATTGCCGTTAACCGGTGGTGCAGCCACCATACAATTCACAGCAACCATGAACTTATTAAAAACAGAAAATTACAGGTGTTGAGTTACTGACATTTGTAACGGTATCTCACAGAAACGTTTCGCTCAGTTTGCTGAAGTGCTTACTCTGAGCCACATAAGGTAAATGCCCCTCAGCCTCCTTCAACACCTGTCAGCCTGAGTCATGTGAAAACAATATATTTTGCCTTCCAAAGTTTCTGAAGTGCACTGAAAACAGAAAAATACCTGTTCTGTCTCTTTTCCTCTAATGCTCTCCCTCCCCCTGTAGCCCTTTCACATTTTCTTCATACAAGGTGACTTCCACACTTCTCTAGGATCATAATGCACCATGGAGGTTAAAGTAGTGAGATGTAAGACAAGTGCACTCTACTTTCTCTGTCTCCTCTCCCCTTCTTATGTCTTTCTCTTAGTTAAACCTTTGGTAAAATTAGGTATCCAAAAGTAAAGCTATTGTCAGGCAAATGTGAATCATTGCAGCATTGTGCTTCTTGCAGTGTGTGTGAAGGGAGATGTAAAATGTTAAGAAATGAAAGCTGTTAAATTAGGAGTTTAAGGTTCTGTAGGAATTGACATGCAGAACCTTCTCTCAGTCTCAGACTCATAAGACAAGTGTCTAATTTTCAGGGAGACAAGTTTACCCTCTAGCTTTTTCACTGAGAATGTTTATCCCAAGTAGGATTTATTTATTCATTATTGTTATTATTATTATTTTATTTATTTATGTTATTCCCCCATTTAACATATTAAGGAGAACGTGCAGTTGCTGATCATGTGGGAGTATGAATAATTAACAGGAAATAAACAAATAAAATAACAAAAAAGTAAATAATCTTATCATATCCAACAGCTGCTTTGACTATCCACCACCCCCACACCATTGCCTGGTAAAGGAAAAAAACTCCTGTTTGCGCAGTTAAGCTGCTTATAAATATTTGTAATTAAAATCACAGGGTGAAAGCAGGGAGAGTGGCGTCTTTATCGCTGGAGACACTGCTGCTGCAGGTGTCTTTGATGCCCAGGAAGTGGTTTTGATCTGACAGTACAGGAACGCAGAGAGACTCCAATCGGCTTGTCCCACTCAGCAGCTCCCCTCCCTGCTCTCACGTCACCTCCTCTCCCCCCC